ATGACAATGGCATCTTCCACTGGCTTGACTGACGTTTCCTTTCAGTGTCAATAGCACCATATCCTGTTCACTACCAGGGGAAAAAAAGTCTGGGTCCCTTTGGAGCTGTTCTTTCAAAGCATGGTATGTTTCTGGTTGATGCTCTTTTTCCTGGTCAGTCAGACCCAACGCACAAATTTCGCAGTGATCCTTCTCATTCCCAAATCTTATGTTAAAATTTGTTGAACCGAGCTCCAAGATAGTTCAGATAACTCCCTCATCTCTTCAATGGTCCATTGCTGGTCTTTGAGCAGCATGACTTTTGTCGATATTTTCCGTTTGGGAAGTTGATGGACATCCAGAATCAACATTTCACCTTTTTTGAAATGTGCAAACCACATGTACACCTGAGGTTTTCCCACAGCACTGTCCTTGTAAGCTGTGTTCAACATCACAACAGTTTCTGCAACATTTTTCCCAAGCAGGGAAAAAAAAAATTTCACAGCTGCACATTCTTCTCTTAAATTGGCCATCACAAAAAAAGAGGTTTGAATGAAACTGCTTTTAGGGAAAAATTCACTGTGACCAGAGAGAACCTTCCCAGGTAGCGCCACTGGGTGCACTAACTTAAGAGTGAGTTGCTTGATGCCCAGCGGAACTTTTTTGCAGTGGCTATCGATAAACTAATATGATTGATGATAATCAACATCCAAAACAAGTCAATTTGCTGAAATGGTAGCTGAAACAATATTGTAAGCATATATAAAATATTTATATATATGAGGGGGTACCCCCCAAAAAAATGAGAAAAAAAAAAACCTCTGCTGAATGGAATGAAGCTTTCATAGTACGCATTTTTCCCCCCAGGCAAGCATTAAGCAACCCCCTTTGAGTTAGCGTACCCAGTGGTGCTGCCCAGGAAGGTTCTCTCTGGTCACAGTGAAATTTTTTGTAAAAGCTGTTTCACTCAAACCTCTTTTTTCGTATGATTGATTTAAGAGAACAATGCCAAGAAACAGTTGCGATGTTGAAGACAACTTACAAGGACAGTGCTATGGGGAAAAACTCAAGTATACAAGTGGTTTTCTTGTTTTAAAACAGGTGAAGTGTTGATTGATGACAAATCTCAATTTGGATGTCCGCCAACTTCCTGTAGGGACAAAAATGTTGACTCATAGTACATTTGGAGTTTGTTCCACCAGGGCAGATTTTTTTTTTTAACCAGGTCACATTGTTAATCAAGCTTCCTATTTAGAGGTTTTGAAGCGATTGATTAACAGTGTGTGACACAAAAAGGCCTGATATGAGGCAGATGGGGGACTGATTTGCCAACACAACAACACACCATATCATGCAGTCATCTCAGTGCGCCAGTTTTTGAGAAAAAACAGGATTCTTCTTTTGCCCTATGCACCTTACTCACCTGACCTTCTGTGCAACTTCTTTTTATTTCCTTGAATAAAGAGGGACATGAAAGGACAGCAATTTGACAAAGTAGAAGAGGTGAAGAAAAAAACAGAGAGAGGTACTGTCAGCATTCAACAGATGAGTTTGAAAAATGTTTCCAGGAATGGAATCACAGATTTGACCAATAGTATTAAGTGTAATGGAGACTACTTCGAAGGTGATAGGTTGTTTGTAAAAAAAATTTGAATACATGGTTTTGAAAAAAAATTGTCTTTAGAGGAGTATTTCCTTGTATATATTATTATAAACAGCAGTTGGGATAGGCTAAGCTTGGCAGAAATTCATGTGTGAAATTTAATGGCATACATAGTTTACCATATGTATAGCAGGCGGAGAATAACCTAAAAAAAATAAGAATCGTGGGATAAAAGCCAAACCAAACTCATTGCAATTGAGTCAATTCCAACTTTTGGTGACCCCACATTTGTCAGAGTAGAACTCTACACTACAGGCTTTTCAATGGCTGTAATTGTATGAAAGTAAATCAGTAGGCTTTTCTTTCACAGTGCTGCTGGGTAGATTTGAACTTCTGATGTACCAGTAGTCAAGTACAAATCCCCTGAATCACCCAGAGACCAATAAAATCGACTAAGAAAAGCAACTGTTTTCTTATATTGTTTAGATGACATTCAATGTTGTGTTTCACCAAGTGTTTCATTTTAGTGCACAGGATTCATTCAGAAATGAGGCTCACGCAGGGAAGTGAAGAGGTCAAGAAGAAAAGTAAAGCGAATAGAAATAGTTAGCTTGAAGATGAGAAATCCGGCATTCTGCGATGCTCACCTTCCTGACATGATCGCTGAAGACAAAAAGGGTGCATAAGCAAATGTGGTGAAGAAAGCTGATGGTGTGTGCCCGGCTATCAAAAGATATAGCATCTGGGGCCTTAAAGGCTTGAAGGTAAACAAGCGGCCATCTAGCTCAGAAGCAAAAGCCCACATGGAAGCAGCACACCAGCCTGTGCAATCAGGAGGTGTCGAAGGGATCAGTTATCAGGCATCAAAGAACGAAAAATAATATTATTGTGAATGAGGGGAAGTGCAGAGTGGAGACCCAAAGCCCATCTGTAGGCAATTGGACATCCCCTTATAGAAGGGTTGCAGGGAGGAGATGAGCCAGCCAGGGTGCAGGTCAGCAACGATGAAACATACAACTTTCCTCTAGTTCTTAAATGGTTCCTCCCCTGCCCACTATCATGAACCCAATTCTGCCTTACAAATCTGGCTAGACTAGAGAATGTACACTGGTACAGATAGGAACTGGGAACACAGGGAATCAGGGCAGATGATCCCTTCAGGACCAGTGGTGAGAGTAGTGATACCGGGAGGGTGGAGGGTGGGTGGGGAGGGAAGGGGGAACCGATTACAAGGTTCTACATATAACTTCCTCCCTGGGGGATGGACAACAGAGAAGTGGATGAAGGGAAACGTCGGACAGTGCAAGATATGACAAAATAATAATTTATCAATTATCAAGGGTTCATGAGGGAGGGGGAGGGAGGTGAAAAATGAGGAGCTGATGCCAGGGGCTTAAGTAGAGAGCAAATGTTTTGAGAATGATGAGGGCAATGAATATACAAATATACTTTACACAATTGATTTATGTATGGATTGTGGTAAGAGTTGTATGAGCCCCTAATAAAATGATTTAAAAAAAAAAGAAGAAAACTGATGGTGCCCGGCTATCAAAAGATATAGCGTCTGGGGTCTTAAAGGTTTGAAGATAAACAAGTAGCCATCTAGCTCAGAAGCAACAAAGCCCACATGGAAGAATCACAGCAGCCTTTGTGATCATGAGGTGTCAATGGGATCAGGTATCAGGAATCTAAGATCCAGAATAAAATCATACCCAAGGTGAATGGGGCGAGGGTGGGGTGGGTGGGGGCAGGGCAAGGGGTGGAGACCCAATGTCCATCTGTAGACAATTGGACATCCCCTCACAGAGGGGTCACAGGGAAGAAATGAGTCAGTCAGGGTGCAGTATAGCACTGCACACAGATGAAACACACAACTGTCCTCTATCTCTTTGGTGCTTCCTTCCCCCCACTATCATGACCTCAATTCTACTGTACAAAGTGGATTAGACCAGAACATGTACACTGCTACAGATAAAAGCCCACCACACAGGGATTCCAGACAGATAAACCCCTAAGGGCCAACAAAAATGGTCAGAAGAAATGGACAGTTCACCAAAGATGACATTGAAACACAGGGAATCCAGGGCAGATGATCCCATCAGGACCAGTGGTGTGAGTGGCAATACTGGGAGGGTAGAGGGAGAGTGGGTTGGAAAGAGGGAACTGATTACAAGGATCTATATGTGACCTCCTCCCTGGGGGACGGACAACAGAAAAGCGGGTGAAGGGAGACGTCAGACAGGGCAAGATATGACAAAATAATAATCTATAAATTATCAAGGGCTCATGAGGAAGGGGGGAGTGGGGAGGGAGGGGAAAAATGAGGACCTGAGAGCAAATGTTTTGAGAATGACGAGGGCAATGAATGCACAAATGTGCTTTACATAATTGGTAAATGTATGGATTGTGATAAGAGTCGTATGAGCCCCTAATAAAACAATTAAGAGAAAAAAGAAAAGAGCTGCACCAGGAGTGGTTTGGCAGTCTGACATAATTTGCCAGATGACGCAATGACTCTGCAATACTGAGCCAGGAAAACTATCAAGCGGCTCTGGTAGATTTAGACACTCAACCGAGTATACTTTCTTTTTAAACAAGCAGTCTATAAATCAGAGTAAGCAATACTCTACTCAGACAATGTATACACTGCTTGCCACAGGTTTAAGCACTTGGTAGCAAACCTGGAAAGCACCTTCTCTAGTGTTCCAGTGTTAGCTCCAAAGACCCATGTTTTAAAGATTTAAAATACCTCTTGGTCATAAAGAGGAGAAAAGAAGATCTGAATAACCTAAAACAGGTGTCTAAAAGTAGCATCTTAAATCGTAGCAAATTCAACAACTTTCCCGATCCTCATCCTCATCAGTTGTTCTCTAAGTTTCCAATACTTTGGGCTGTTAATTTACCAATTCTAGTTCAACAAAGGTTCTTAGCTAGGAAGATGTTATAAATGTTTCCTTCATGAGTGTACACAATGCACAGCCCTGGATGAATCAATAACTTTGGAAAGAGTTGCTGGAAATCTGTTGGAGGGAAAGAAATAGATGCTGTAAGTTGCTTGAAAATAATCTTTTCATTTGTTTTTTTTTTCCAGCACATTAAAAAAAAATCATTTTATTAGGGGTTCATACAACTCGTATCACAATCCATACATACATCAAATGTGTGAAGCACATTTGTACATTCATTACCAAAACATGTGCTCTCCACTTAAGCCTCTGGCATCAGCTCATTTTCTCCCCTCCCTCCTTCACGAACCCTTGATGATTTATAAATTATTATTTTGTCACATCTTACACTGTGAAGTCTTCCTTCACCCACTTTTCTGTTGTCCGTCACCCAGGGAGGAGGTTATATGAAGATCCCTATAATCTTTTTAAATCATTCAAACATAAATGAAGTCTCAGAATGGCTGACTAACCTGGTAATGATGTCAAGAGTAGTAACCTGAGGTATCTGAATCTGCTGTGGTGTCAGCCCATGTTGTCCCAGTTGCTTTGGGATCAAGTGTCGGTGGGCAATCTCGATTTTCTCCTCTTGTGTATACCCTAAGAAAGAAAGTGATCTTGTTTTGTAATTATGTGCTTGGCAGCCACAGTGCCACACCTTTTTAATGAATCAAATGTAGACTCAATGACTGAAGGAAGAATGAATTCAAGCATTACTTCAACCAAGTTTATAATTAGAACAGAGAAAGTTAGCCTCAAATCAGTCACTGTTAAAATTTCCAGCTCTCTTACAAAACAAGTAGTATTTGAAAGTCTTTTGTCTAAATGATAAATATCTCAAAGAGAAGAGATCTCCTTATTTCAAATGCTGATATGTTATTGTTTAACAAATAATAAATACATCCCTTTCCTTTAGCATACATTAATACATACATTAAAAATTTACTAAGGGGCAAGATTACACTTAAATAAACTGTGAGCTCCTAGAGTATGAATCTACGAGAACAATTTCTAAATCTGTCACCATAATTTTTAACATTTTGAAAAAACACTTAGATGACCCTATGTTTATCCTACATAATTGGAATTGGAATTGATTATTTTCTTTAATAACCTCAAAAAAGGTACAGATTTACCATCTTTAAATACTGGAAGACAAAGTTCCTTTGAATATAAATGCTCCCCTCTTTCCTTAGAATGAGTAAAACTGAAAACATTGAATTGACAGGGCATTGGTTGAATAGGAGGAGGTAAAAAAGTACCCTAACAAGAAGAGAAGGTGCCCAGACCTGGCAGAGAAGATGGTATCATTTCTTCACCACTGTAGCAGCTGTCCTTTCACACAAGTGCATTGTATAGTTTCTACCTTAATTTCGAGTTTCCAGGCAACTGGGTCTAATTACTTATTTCAGTTTTGCAAAATATGCAGAAGCAATTTTTTTCCTCAATGATATTTTAAAACTAAATATAGAAACATGTAGGGCTCCAAGATAATTAAGAAACCCTGTTATCATTGACTTAATAGTAAAAAATGTCTGATTAGTATGAGAAATATACTTAGATTCTACTTAGAATCTAAACATTTAGATTTTGTTTTACTTTCATTTTAGAAAACTCACTGATGCTTGATCTCTTCTAGAAAAAAAGTATTTCTAAGCAATTAGAATAGTATGACTAAAAAAAAAAAAAGAACAGTGTGACTCAGTCATAGTAACTAAGCAACTTTACACACTCCAGTTAAGGGGGAGACCATGGTTTTCAAAAGCATGTAACTAGTTGACAGACCCAACTGAAGGAAACTTTAAAAGTATCATGAACTTTCATATAAGAAGAGGTGAGATTTAATAAAGAGAAAGTTCAGTTGGCTCATTAGGACTATCTCTAAATGAGAATAAATGATTTATAAAACTTTCCCAGGTAGACGATAGAACTTCCACAATCTGATAAACTAGAAGCTACACTGACTATGTGAAAATTCTACTTTTGATTTTGATATACTGATTTGGATGAAATAAATTAATTTTCAACAAAAAATTTAAAAATTGCTCCAAAGAGAAATGTCTAAATATTACTGTTAAACTAAATGTTTTATAAAATATATACCTACTAATACCTGTCATGATTCACAATAAAAATAAATAAGGCTTCCTCTTTCAAACTTGGATTCTATATAAAACTGTTTTAAAAATCAGATTCAGACCTTTGGAAGATTATGTTACACAAAATATTATATTTTATATTATACTAAAAACCTGGTAAATACAACTCTTTACTCAAAACTCCAGGGCATTGCCACTTTCAAAAGATTATCCTCTGAAAGACAAGGAATGCAAAATTATGATTTATGAATCAAATACCTGGAACTTGAATGATCTCCATTCTGTCTAATAAGGCAGGTGGAATAGTAGCAGTAGTGTTGGCAGTAGCTATAAAAAGAACTTGGGAAAGGTCAAAGGCCACATTTAGATAATGATCTGTGAAGTTATGGTTTTGTTCAGGATCCAATACCTAGGGGAGAACAATAAACATTTAAATAAGAAATTTAGCAGTTACAACAGATAGCACCATAAATTAAATCAGACACAAAGCATGACTGAAGTCACTGTCTCTGCTGGATATGGTTAGTTTGGGAAACCAAGAGAACATTAAAACCCAGCGCATCCCTTTCTTGCATTCTCCATATTCTAAATACTTGTTTCTTAATTAAAAATGCTCATATCAAAATTTAGAACACACAAAAAGTACAAAGATGCTTTTATAAGTTAACTGTTATAAAGTAAAAAACTATGACTAAGTTTTCACACCAAAGGAAACATTTGATGGCAACAAGGAGAGGAAGGGAGGAAGGAAAATAAGCAATAGGCTAGAGGAGAGAGAGGTGTTAACTTGGGTGGAGGGAAAGCATATTCCACAAGAGGGAGAAGAGAAACAAAAAAGGTAGATTAGGGAAAGCAATTGGGGGTTTGATATGTAGTTTAAGTTGAGGAAAACAAAACTGATGATCTAAAAATGCTAATGCCCAACTGATTGACAATAAAAAATATTTATCACAAAGCAACAAAAGAAAACAAAAAATACCCTTTCATATTTTCTTCTCAAACCTATTAGTGACTCGTTAAGTCACTATATGTTAACAGTCCTCTAGAATCAGTTTCCATCTTGATAATACTTACCTTCTGAATGATTATGGGAATTTAAAGTAAATTTGTTATGTTAAAATTTTTAGGTAATAGTCAAATTAAAAAATATTTCTCCTCAAATATTATTATAAAGCCCAGTACAAATTCTTTAACTTAAAAGGGAATTCCAAACTAGAAAAAATTACTATGCTCCTAAATTCTGACAATAGCATAAGGAAAAATCACTTAAAAATATCTTAAATTAACACTTTTTTGTTTTACTGAGCAAAATGTAAACATTTCTTTAAAATATTCCATATTGGTAAGTTAGATAACTTATTAAACTACTCAGCAAATGTATCTTAAAGAGACTATATCTAACGCTCACTATTCGGAATCATGTCTGGGATCTTGAAAGCTTACAGGTCATCATCTACTAAACAACTACCGCTCTCTATCCCTTTGAACAAAAGAGAAAAAGTAGCCCAAGAATCAGAGAAGAACTGTACTATAGGACTGACTATCTCCATAATCCCTGAAACCTCCTCCACTGTGAAATCAGAGCTACATGATGCCTGGCTATCAATATCAAACATTCAGATCAGGGTCACACTAGATGGATCCTGATAAAATGGGGGGGGGGGATGTGCAATAGAACTTCAAAATCCTAAAGAATCCAGAATTGTAGAAGCTATTGAAGATAGGGGAGACCCTGAGACTATGGATCTAAATTAGTCAAACTATCCTTTGAAGTCACCTTTAAACTGTTAAATGAAAGTTTAGCGCAGAGTGAAGACAGTCAACCTCGAGTATTATGTTCTTTTAAAAGAATTTTTTTCTTCTTTTATAATAATATAAGACCAAATGGTCTTGAAAGCATAGATGAGAAGGTTGGTGGGGTGGTGGTGCATGGAGTTATGGTAGCAAGAGTGAAACAACTAGAACGGAAACAGCAATAATGATAATACAGTGCAAAGAATGTAACCAATGCCATGGATAATTGTGCTCAGAAATTGGTAAGAGGGTGGGTTTTGCTGTATTTTTTGTCAAAAGTAAAACAAAATATGAATTTAAAAACTGCATTGAATTTCCAAGGGGCACTACTCAGATGACGCATGAAGACAAACTGATGACACTATGACGGGAAAAATATGCTACAAACTTCTTAGCCATCAAATCTCTACTTCTTACCCCACTTCAGCCAGAGCTTCCATGGTCCAACTTCAGGATCTGCTTTCAAGAATATATACAGCTATTTTTTCTCCCTTCTCCACAATTAAAAAGCCTTCCTACATCAAGCTCAGGTCTGTCATTCCAACCCATGCACAGTGTCTGGGGTAGAAAGGGCTGTGATACGGTGCTTAGTTCCCAGAAAGTAGTCAGTAGTGGGATAAATTGTGGAGAGGAGTATATTCTGAGAGCCTGTCAGTAATTTTTGACAATAGGATTTTACTCCTTATAAATGACTAGGTAACTAACCAACATCCTTCTTACAATAAGAGAGATAGAAAATAACAAGAAAACTAGGTGAAGCTGTGCATACAAAATAGCTGTCAGCTTAAAATCTGACAGGAGGGTTTTGAAGGAGGTGAATACAAGGAAAAATAATAGATGTTATAAGAAGGTTCCGCAAAATATATCTATGAAAGTGGTGGAGGACACAGTGGGCTAAATTGTGTAAGCCTCTAAAACCAAATTTACTGCAATTGAGACAATGGGTCTAGAAGCTCATGACAATAGTCAAAGGAAAGAAGAAGGTCAATTGGAGCAACACAGTCCACAATCTACCAATGTTCTACATCCTATTTTAGTGACTGGTGACTGGGTCCTAAAAGCTTCTGAGCAGTCATGTAAGGTACAATTAATGGTCTTTCTCCATCCTGAGGAAAGAGTAATGAAGATTGAAGACAAATGGGAACAATCAGTTCAATGGACTAATGGATCATGTGAACATCAGTCTCCATGATCCTAAGACCAGAAGAACTAGGTTATAATTTCTGACAAAAGGATTTTACTCATTACAAATAACTAGGTAATCAATCAATACCCTTCTTTCAAATAGAAAGCTGTAAAACAATAAGGAAATTAGGTGAACCTGTGCATACAAAGTAGTTGTCAGCAGTTTTGCAGAGGGAGAAAAAAGAAAAACAGCGTTATTCTAAGGCTCCACAAAATATACCCATGAACTACAACCAATTGCTCTGAAAGGGTTCTGATTAGAAGGTCCTAGATAGAGGGCAGAAAAATAACGTGGGGGATATTCAATCTTATAAAAAGAGACCAGGTTTGCTAGTTGGACAGAGATAGGTGGGACCTTCAAGACTATGGTCCTTAGTCATCACCTTTTAGGTCTGGAACTGAACTTACCCTCATAGCTCAATTGTCAGCCAAACAAACCAGGTCTATAATGGAGATTATAACACGAGAAGTTATGTGCCACCGTGGAATAAACAAATCATTTGAGTTCAAAAGAGCAGCGTTTACCCAAGGACAAAGTTCAGTAAGGTTAGTAAAGTAGGAGAAATAGAAACAGGAAACACAGGGAGAAAGTGAAATAGGTGATGCTACATTATGAAGACTGCTATCACTAGGAAGAAACAAAATATATTATGAATTATGCACTGGAAAACTGATCTGCTCTGTAAACCTTCACCTAAGTCACGTTAAAAGTTACAAAGACTGCAATATAAAAGAGAACACAATGATCAAGATAAAAAGGACTACCATACCTTTGTTCAAATAACAAGTACATTATGTTTCTGCAAACCATGCAACCCCATTGCATGTTAGTTTCATGTGCACATTAAGTGCATGGTAAGCGTGAATGCATAAGCATATTAGATTATATGTATTTATGTGTAATTTATATAGGCACGTTATATGCAAAAAAAACTTGGTCTATTTTTTTAAATGATTTATCTCTTAAGTAAAATTTTAAAGGATTCTTTCCTATACTTTAATACAATTCAGAAACTAAAAGTAGAATCACATTGGCAAAAAAAAAAAAAGCAAGCACAGGCTATTCATTGTAGCAAAAGGAAACTGACTCAATTAATGAGGGATCATCCATTCAATGTTGAAGAATATGGTGTGGGGGCCACATCTCATTTCTTTGGGTTCCCAAGCATGATTGCCACAAGGCAGGGTCAGACATGCCTCCGTTTTATTCTGCTACCAAGTATTTAAAAAAATTTTTTTACATCGTTTTATTAGGAGCTCATACAACGCTTATCACATCCATACATACATCAACTGTGTAAAGCACATTTGTACATTCATTGCCCTCATTATTCTCGAAACATTTTCTCTCCACCTAAGCCCCTGGCATCAGCTCCTCTTTTTTCCCCTCCCTCCCCAGTCTCCCCTCCCTCATGAGCCCTTGATAATTTATAAATTGTTATTGTGTCTTATCTTGCCCTGTCCGACGTCTCCCTTCACCCACTTTTCTGTTGCCCGTCCCTCAGGGATACCAACTAATTTTACTATGGCACTTGATTTCCTCGCACTCTGCTTCTTAGGCTGGGTTAAACAGTTCACTGCAATGAACACATAGAACACACAATGTGCTGATCAAGTTCTGAGAATTTTGGTCTTCTTTACATTGAGTTGTAATCCACGTCGAAGCACACAATACTTGATTTTCAGCAAGCAAAGTTGTGTCATCTGCATATCGCAGGTTGTAAAGAAACTTTTCTCCAATCCTGATGCCACATTCTTCTTCGTAAAGTCTGTTTTCTGATGACTTGCTAAGCATACAGATTGAACAAGAATACTGAGAGAATACAACCCTGTGGTACACTTTTCCCGATTTTAAACCATGCAGTAACCCCTTGTTCCATTCACTCAATTACCTCTTGAGCAATGTACAAACTCCACACAAGCACAATGAAGTGCTCGGAAACTTCTATTCTTCTCAAGGTGATCCATAGTTTGTTTCGATACACAATCGAATGACTTTGGTACAGCCAATAAAACAGAAACAAATATCTTCCTGGCATTCTCTGCTTTTAGCCAAGATTCATCTTATGTCAGCAATAACATTTCTTATTCCACATCCTCTTTTTAATCTGGCCTGAACTGGCAGCTCCCTGTCAATACACTGCTACAAGCATTGTTGGCTGAGTTTTAATAAAATTTTACTGGCATGTGATATTAGTGAAAATGTTCTATAGTTTGAGTATTCTGGTGGGTCACCTTTCTTTGGAATGGGCACAAATATGGATCTCTTCCAGTCAGTTGGCCAAGTAGCTGCCTTCTACATTTCCAGTTACTTGTGAGTGAGTGCTTGTGTTGCACCAGCTGGTTGAATCATTTTGATTGATATTCTACCAAATTCCTGAAGCTTTGTTTTTGGTTAATGCTTTCAATGCAGCTTGAATGTCTTCCTTT